CCCATGATATAGATATAGTCGCATTAGTGTTAGCTATTATAAAATACCTTTATAGAGTCAACTTTTTATGACCACCAAATTTTTGTTTCCTGATCTGGTGATAATATCAAGGTATGCTTTCAATACTCGTATTACGATAGATCAATATAACAAAGATTAATTTTTATTTTGATCACATTAAAGGAAACAAAAATTAATTTGCTTAAAGTTGGATTAAGGTTAGAGTTTAGGGGTTAGAGCTTAAGGTTTGGGTTAGGGTATAATTTATACTAAAATTTTGCGGAGATTTTTATTTTTATTTATTACAGCTGTTATCATTATTCCTAGGACACCTTATGAAAAACTAACCGAATAATTATTCAGCCGATTCGATAAGTTATTGATACAACGTTTTATTATTTACGGAGATAGTCTAAAGCCAGGTATGTGCGTACATACGTATGTACGCGGGTTTTAAATTGGTTACTGTAAATTGAACTCACGTGAAACATATGGTAAAAAAAACATTTTTCATTGTTTGAAAACATGCGATGATTATGATCCAAATACTTTTAAATTTAGACTACCTATATTTACAATGCAACAGTGACAATTATTAATCGATAATGACCAGATAACCAATATCAATATGCAATATAACGAAAAAAGTTTTAGGTTATAAGTTCTTAAACAATTTTAAAGATAATGGATATATTGAAAGATTTCTGCCACTTGTAAGAAAACCAGTCTACTAAACCTGAATGATATATATAAAATCTCTTAAGGCTTTAATTGAAAATAAGCCTGACTGATATTTTTATGAGTTACAATCTGTGATAGAACTTTGAAAGCAAAGATTGTTAAGTTTAATATCAATATATCGCATCATTATCATTATCAATATATAAAGGAAAAAAAACAGATTATTCTTCGCTGCAACCGTGCCTAAGAATACTCAATTAACCATAAAATTTTTGTGTAAAGGTGTTAAGCTTTCTGAGGATACTGTACGTACATAGCTTTAGGATATTTCCGTAATAAACGTTACATTGATCATGCCGAAATCAATAACTTATCTAATTTTTCATAAGGTACCCAGGAATAATGATAATAGCTGTAATCGAAAAACCAGGGACCCGGGACGTCATATGACGGACTTGATGAAGCATGAATTATCTCACGAGTTCGGTGACATATAGAGGCCACACGCCGTCCGATGATCTTCGCAGAATGATAACTCTGGCCTTTAAGAGATGTGACAGATCCTAATGGTGTCTAAGAACCTTCAGAATAGCGAAGGGAGGTGAAAAAAAAAATTAAAAAATTTGTCGAAAAATTATTCGGCAAATTTTTATCAGGTGTCCCATAATTTATGATAACAGTTGTAATATGTCAACCAATAGAACTACTACACGCATTTCAAAAAAATATTTGAAAGGCCTAGCAGTTCGAGTAATTGCCAGACATCTAGATGTTTGCAGGTCTTCTGTGAGTAGAATTCTTAAATATTTTTGACAATATATTATGTTGAAAACTCCTGGTACTTTTAGGAAGATTATATTTATTAAATTTAGATGATATAAAATATTTCAAAACTTTAATAAATGGAAAATGTGGTTGGTATTTGTATGGGTTATAGAGTTATAATTCTCAATGTACCGTATTTTCGCGTAATAACACCCGTGGGCGTTATTTAGATAATACCTGATCCAGTGTTGTCACATTTACTATGTCCATGGATTTTTTTGGCTGTCCATGTTCATGTCCAGTCCACGTCCATGTCCACAGATGTCCATGATGTTTATGCATCTCATTGCTTAATATATATTATTAAAAATAAATAATTATATATATAATTTAATGATAAACATTTTTACTTAATGTACAAAATCAAGTTGTCATAATAAACTTTTGAGCTATTAACATTTCTTTTTTGTACAACATGTTTGTATATTGTCTACACATTTGTCCACATGTCTGTCCACACCTGTCCATTGATAACACTGACCTGATCCGTATGTGAATAAGCAGAAACGAAGTTTCCTCTAATTCCCAACGGATCTGGAATATTATTATTACAAATTGCGCTCCCTGAAAATGACATCCGTAACTTCAAAATAGCGCCCAAACACGTCACAAAATAATGCGCACTCGTATAAAGAGCGGCTTTGCCACCTAGTGTTAGGTAATAATTAGATATAGCAGGCAGTGTAATAATATTCAGCTACAATAAGAATTGAAGTATTCCATTGACAAATAATATTATCGCAGTTGATGGGCTGATGCTGAAATTTGGAACTCGATTTAAAAATATAAGCCCCTAAAATCCACATATACTCTTTAATTCTGTAATTATCAATTCTAACACTAAACATCAACTCAACTATAGGAAAAAAGCACCCCAAGGAATTTTTAAAAATTCATATCAAAATAGGTCCGAATTTCAGCAACAGCTGCGACAATTATTATACTTACTAGCTAGAAGAAATTTTATCATTATCTCAAGTTTTTTATTTCGTAATTAAAAACAGATGATTGTGGTCTTAAATATATTTAAAAGTTAATTATTTGAACTTTAATTAAATAGATTTAAATCCAAATTTAGTTGGACTTTAATTATTCCTATTTTAAATCGGTAAAAAATGAGGTTAGCACTCTTTTTACCATCCCTACAATGTAGTCTCGACAACTATTAATAAGTTTTGATTGTTTGAAATTATAAATTGTGTTATGTTTTTTTAGTCCAGTCAATAAATTATTGTCCATATCGAAGTTTTCTTTATTAGCACCTATTCGCGTAATGTATTTATTATGAAAGTTTATCTTATATTCGGAACCTTTTCTATGTTTTTTTGTTAAAATCTATTGGTTGGCAAGAACAGCTTCGCCATAAATTTTCGTATAGACTAAACAAACCAAACATATTAGACATGAATTCAAGCGAAAACTTAATTTTGAATGTGCGACATTGTAGTATCGTTCAGAATCAAAAACTTAGAATAATCATTCGGTCAATTTTTCACCAGATGTCCCGGAATTTTGAAAACAGCTGTAATATAAAATATTATAAGACTAGTACGTAAGTACATTTCTGATTAAATATAGAAATATTATCCTTTCAAAGCAGCTTCGTCGGCAAATAATTGAAAAAAAATTTATTAGTTCGAAAATTGCTAAACACTTAGGTGTTAGCTGATCTTCTACAAGTCGAATTTTCAGGCACTTTCAAAGATATCTATTGAAAACTTTCGTAAATTTTGATTTTTGAAATTTTGAGTTACATTTTAAACCAGTCGACAAATTCTTATTATATCAAACTTATTAATATTGGCGTCTATTCGTGTAATAATTTATTATAAAGTTTAATTTATATCTGAAGTTTTTTTTATATTTCTTGTCATATAAACTAAAACACACCAAACATTGGATGCGCGATATAATATGCAAATTAAAAAAATTAAAACTGTGGTATTATAAAAACTTCATATCAGTTTAATATTTTAGAACAAATTTTTGCAAAAACTAATAACTTTACAAGAAAGTTACGAAGTCGTTTCTTTTAAACTTGAATTTAAAAAGTTAGCTGAACTAAATCTTTTTGTTTTATATTTAAAGGAGAAAAATAACTTCGTAACTTGGCTTGTAAAATTATAATATTGGTTGTAGATGCAGACGTATGATTACGTCCAATCTACGTGTCGTCATGTCGCAAGTGAATGTGTGCCAAGTTCGTGGCGCAGCAAAAATTCTTTAAAGCGCGTTTATATTAGGGTCAAGGTTAGGAATTAGGGAGGAGTGAATTAGATAGTGAAAATTGCACGAAGAAAACTTTTTGTTAGATCACTAAAGGTGATTTCCTATGCTAATTTTTGAGAAATAAATAATTTTTGACAAAAAGAACGTTTGTTTCGAATTTTCTTTTATCGTGTTACGTTCTACCTGATCTTGAAATCTGATTCGTAGTTCAGGAAATCTGCGCCACAAACCTGGCACGCATTCGTAGATCATAGTATCTACAAAGTTACGACGTTATAGAAAATAAAAAATTACGCAATAAAAATAGGTAGGGTTTTTTGTGATTTAATTTTTGAATAACTTATATACAAAAACAACGATAATAGCTACATAATATACTCGTTACGCTTTATAGAGGAGAGCCAAGTATTTTATATCGAACAAAATAGTAAAATAATATACTAAATTTATATATTCTTCTTGTAGTATCGTGAATATTGGTATAGATTTCTGTATAGCATGTTAGATGTAATGGTAAATATAGTACGTACATTTTGATACATATGAGTGCCGTCAGGAGAAACCTGTCATTGGGTTTTCAATTATATTTTGCATCCAGTTTATCTGAGTGCTGTCCAATTTCTCCCCAACTTCTGATTGGATGCAACATAAAAATCGAAATTTTTCAAAAAAAACCGTCAGTAACTTGTAATTCTACTAATGAAATCACCTTTGCAAAATTTTAATTGTTCTATATTTTATTTTGGATTAATACCACAACTAATAATAGATTTATAGCTTTAATATAGTTTTTACCGTATTTTTGTTTTGCTCAGAATTTGTAAGCGTTCAATAGGGAACTAGGGATTTTTCGATTAGATTTGTAATTACTTGTAATTGAAAGCCCGTTGATAGGTTTTCTTAGATGGCACTCAGAGAACAAACTGAACACAAAATATAATTGAAAGTCTGATTTTAGTAGAGTATGAGTAATTAGCATTTATGTTTATATCCTTTATCTAGAACATCCATGAAAATATTATTCTTACGGTGACATAATCAAATAATTCTCGAGTCTTATTCAATTTTTTGAAATTTGATACCAAAGTCTTTTTTATGGGATTATGTCAGGGGATACTAGTTTAGGAGTACAGAGTGGAGACATCCATTTTGCCTAGTCATTTCATTTTTAATCCACGATGATAATTTATTAATAATACATATCTCCAACTAATAAACTGCTAACCCTAACCCTATGTGATATAAATTAAACTTAATAATGGATTTTATCCACCTAAAACAAGCTCTATTTTATCTGTTCTAAAAATATCTTCTACTTTTAGAATTATAGTAAGATGCCCCAATTTTCTAGGTCCAGCACCTACTATGTGTATGCCATTTAGACTCACACGAGGTAAATTTCGTGCATGGAATACAGGTCCTCCACTATCACTCTTAGTAGAATCCATAGTCGTAACAATCAAATTCTCTTTAACAAAACCTTTATTATCTATATAAACACCATCTAATGAAATTAGATATCTGCAAGAAACATGTAAATCATCATCTTCTTCATCTTCACCAACGTTATCATCTTCGAAAATTGTGCCAGATTTACATAAATGAGCATAATAGGTCAAAATAGGTTCAACATCATTTATAAATAGTTCTTTATAAATATCAGATTCTGTATTCCTTATACTCCTTGTTGGTTTGAGATCTTTATTTGTTATTTGAATTAAGCCAAAGTCATCTACTGAATCATTATAAAATACCATTGGTCCAATTGTTTTCCCGAATGATGGTACTGTTTCCCACGGTGTATAAAGAAAAGTATTATGTTCGGGAGTTGTATCATCTGGATCAATACAATGTCCTGCAGTTACAATATAATCCACAGTAAGATCTCTTGTATTTTTTATCCAAAAACCCGTTGTACATTCTTCTTTGGTACCTTTATTGTATACACCTTCTCCATTTACTATTAGTTCATTTATTTCACATTTAGTGCGAGTTGAACCAGGAGAACCAGAAGAACCAGAAGAACCAGAAGAACCAGGAGAACCAGGAGAACCAGGAGAACCAGAAAAACCAGGAGAACCAGGAGAACCAGGAGAATCAGAAGAACCAGGAGAACCAGGAGAACCAGAAGGTCCTCATTTTGGTTCTTCGAAGGTATGCATAATTGGGTTATATGGTTGGATAGCGTCTAGAAACGCCTGATTAGTTTCATCGTCATCAAGACTTCTAAGCATGATAATATTATTTTTTTCTACATCAATGTAAATAACTAATTCAACTGGGTGATGTGTTTGTGCTCTTAATACTATTTCTGCTAATGAGTTTTTTAAGGTTGATAAAGAATTTCTTGTTGGTCTACATGCTAATACTGCTATATACGGTCGTAACGGAATTGCCTGATCTGATTGAAGTATATCACGAAATGAAGTTGCATTTAATGCCATGATAATTACTTTATTCCTCTTTGGATCTATACGTGTTCCTCCAAAATTTTCTTCATCTAGTAAATCCTTTAAAATCCCGTCCACCATACATAAGTTCTCTTCATTATTCAATAACCAAGGTACTTCTTCTTCTTCTACTTCCCATAATTTCGCTAACGGTACTTCCAAAGCATAAATCATAAAATACTTTTTAATATAAGAATAAACAATAACAAATGTATTATAAAATAAATATTTCTCATAATTATGTTTGTTTATAAAAGTAATATAAAAAAATAATGATATAATAGTAAGAGTAAATATGATAGATAATAAAGATGGATGAAAAGAGATTTAAATATTAGATCTAGATTTAATAATTATATCTAAATTTAAAATAACTAGACAGCTGCGCGACTTTTTCGTTTGAAACCAAGAATGGGAATACTCAGTCAGTTATTTTAGAGGAAAGGAAGAAATATTGAAGCCGATGCTTTTGATAGTTACTTTTAATATTAATTGAGATTAATGACTTTTTTTATACATATATATATTTCTAATCATTACAGAATATATGTTTGTAAGTGGGAACGGGATTTAAGTTAACTTGAAATTTTTTTAGGACTTTAGGTTAGGATGTAGATTTATATAAAACAAATTTTACCCTAAAATTATAAATTCTATATTTTAATATTTATTATTATTTTAATATAACTAAAATTCTTGTAAAAACAATTGTAATCCAATTAATTGCAAAAATTTTAAGAAACTAAAACAATTAATTACATCCAAATGCAGAAATACATCACCATTAACTGTAACAATATCTAAATTAGTGATCCAAATCGTCAGTTGAAAAGCCAACTAGTTGATAACTTTCCAACTAATCGATTTGGAAAATTTTGAAACAACTAATCGATTAAATCATCAACTAGTTAAATTCTAAGATAGAGTTCCTATCCATTATCCGTTTTACTAATCATATCAATAGTAAATGGATATCCGGATAAATTCAGGTATGAGTGCGCGAGAGTGAAAATCAGGAAATACATTTAATTATTTATTATGATTGGTTACGGGGTTTCACTCTCATGCACTCATGAACGGATTGGAACTCTATTCTGAGATATTCCATGTTGATTTCTTTAGTTTGATTGGCCAACCAAAAAATTTAGTCACATGATAGGAAAAATATACTATAGTTGGCAACTAATCGATTGGAAAAATTTTTACCAACTTGGAACACTAATCTAAATGATTCATTAAATTTGTAATAACCCGTTTCTTTTTTATTCTCTGGAAGATCATAAATCACACTAATGTTTGAAGGTCTAAAAAAGGTGTCTATGTAACATTAGATCGAATTTTTTAAAAAAAGATTCGGAACGCTATAGATTAGGGCTAGGTTTTGCTATTAATTTAGGTTAGGAAGAGATTTTCTAATACCAAAATTTCACAAGGAAAACTTTTTGGTTCATGCACAGGTGGTTTCATAGGCAAAATGTTGAGTTAAACTCTACCAGGGTGGCCTTCAAAAATACTGGCGCCACCTATGTTCAAATATGCACAATATGCGAATATGCAAATATGCAATACAGGGGTCAAAATTTTCATAGCAATAGCACTATAAATCCAGTACTGATTCATCTGCTGCAACTACGGCAGGCGGAGCCTGTATTTTTGAAGACCGCCCTGGTAGAGTTGTTGAGTTATGCCCGATTTTTGATTTTGCGTTTCTTTTGCGTAGCACCTGATCTTAATCTGATTGGGCTGCGAAATGTTTTAGTTGTGAAGTGATTCGGTGCCATTAAAAATTATGCAAAATTTTTGTTAGTGGTTTTAAGTCAGTGAAACGATTGGACACAACAACACTGCCCTAGCATTATCACCAATGGTTTTGATTGAATTAGAGCTTAGATCCGTCATCCGTTAGATTTTGAATCAAATAATAAATTTCGTCGAACATCCCAGCTGTCTGATTGAACATTGGATATCCAAGGTCCAATATCACTTAACTCGATCGTATCAATAGTAATAGTGTCCAAAACCTAGTATCCAAGAACCATCAGAATGGATGTCCAATCCAAAGTGTCCAAATGTCCAATTTTGACAAATATACATTGTAATTTACAATAGCTTTACAAAATTTTCAATTATCAGAATTATAAGTATCGTTAGTCTGTTCTGTTCTAGTTCAGCCATCCTTGTTTTTTAATAGTCTATAGACTCAATATTTAACTAATCCAGACTAGTCCAAACTATTCTGGTCTTAAGACTAAAAGCAATACAATTTTTCAGTTCTAGAATGGTCTTAAGTCTACGATCCAGCAGTTTATACCAGACTACCTAATCTCCTATGTAGAAAATGTACAATACTTCAAAAGATACTGACAGAACGGCCTTCAAGGCACTTCTGTTACCGCAATGACCATTTCAGTTAATATTATTGCTAAAAGGAATGTTTACGTATAAAAATCATTTATGTATTATTTTTTTTTCTTTTGACAATCTTGAAAGTTTTTTTGCATTAGTACGATATCATGAATACTATTTTAAGAGATCATGAATAAATACTATCAAGACATTTAGAACATGGTGAATGTTTAATATCGATCAATTTTATACTTAAATGCTTAGCAATCTTTTTATAATCACATATAATATTTAAATAACTTATTTTAGGCTTAAGTGCAGTAGACAGAACGAAGCCTCGCATAAATGGTTATATTCAACCACTCCACGCAATTGCGATACATCACACCACGTTAATGACAATCTTGTAAATTCAAAGTACATGTGGCTTTATACCAATAGTGAATGCGCCACATCTGACTATGCTGTCAAAGTACTAGTCTTTTAGTTATTGGTAATTGGAGGAATAGAAATATCATATAAACGAAAGGCTTCTATTTATTTAAAACATCAATTTATTGTCGCTCATTCTTTATTTCATAATCTGACAGAACAAAAAGAAGTATAATAATATAGATATAATGTCAAGCTCGAGAGATGATATTCGCGAAGGATATCGTTCAATTAATTACGAATCACAAAATAATGAATTTAATAAATTGGAAACGAATCAAGATGGTCAGATACCTGAAGATCGTCATATGATGATTTATTTCATTTTCTTTTTACAAGGAATCATGATTCTTTTAGGATGGAATGGTAATCAAAATTATTTTTCTAAGCATTAGATTTGATTGAAAATGTTCATTAATCTTCTCTATTTCAGTAATCACAATCACTTCAGTCTATTTTCAGGCCAGATTTATTGGAACTCCATTTGTTGATGGCTTTCAAAATTACTTTTCAATAAGTTACATGTTTCCACATTTATTATTTCTCGGATATGCCATATATTCTCAAAAATCTGTAAGTTAATCGATATTATTTGCATATTGTTCCGCTTTTGATTTAATTCAAATTATCTTTTTTTTTTCTAAAGGCAAATATGTCTCGTCGGATAACCGTTTCTCTTTTTTCATTTACCATGATTTTTATGGCGATCGCTATAACTACGCAAGTTAAATTGTTTACACCAAATGGATATTTTTACTTTATTATTCTTTTAATGTTTTTATCTGGAGCTTTTACTGCTTATCTACAAAATGGAATATTTGCGGTCGTTTCGCAATTTTCTCCAATGTATATGCAAGCTGTTATGAGGTATCTTGTTTATTTTACATTAATTATTTATTCAATAAAAAATTTTTTTTTCTAATAAAATCTCTATTAGTGGCCAAGGTACACACTATATACCGTATTTACATTGCGTGTTTTTTTTTTCTTTTGAATAATAATTGCTATTAATCATACGATAAATGAATATTTTTTAAAGGTTTAGCTGGAGTGATAGTAGCAGCTTTTGAAATTATAAGCGCATTAGCGATAGAGAATAAACAAATATCAACAGAAGCAGACTTATCACAAATGGCACTTGCTTGCTTTCTTTTCTCAATGTTCATATCATTACTTTCACTAATCACATACTTTATTCTAACTCGCTTGCCATTATATATCCATCACTTCCCACCACACGAAACACCTATAATTCATCCGATTGATCAAACATTAAGCAATCATTCACTTCAAACCACGTTTCATAGAATTCGATTATTATGCTTTGCAATATGTTTTAACTTTACTGTGACCTTGGCATTATATCCATCAATCACTGCATATATAAAAACCACAATTTCTGAAAAAAACAGATACCTATTTCAAGAAGATTACATATTCATACCATTACATTTTTTAATTTATAATATTTGTGACTGGATTGGTAGGAATTTGCCAACTTTCAAATCTCTAATAGTCACGTCACAATACTATCTGTCCATATTTTCCCTAGCTCGAATAATATTTATTCCGTTGTTTCTTTTTAGTAATGTAGATGTTGGAATATATGGAAAAAGAATAGTTCCATTATTGATAAATAACGATTGGGTTTATTTGTTTGTATTAATGTTGTTTGGAATAACAAATGGATATCTTGTATCAATGTGTATGATGACAGGTCCTCAGGTGTTTGGCGTTGTAAAGGATTTGGCGGGAACTTTGTTATCGTTCTTTTTAGTATTTGGATTAGTCTGTGGATCCTTGTTTTCGTTTCCTTTGAGAACCATCAGTTGTGGATGTAATCCTTTTATTGTTAATGGATAATATTTTGTTTTTCAACATTTATAATAACATATGCTGTACATTTTTTTTTTCTAATAAAAATGAATAAGATTATTCTATCATCTATACGCATTAAATTTTGTTAATAAATCCAGATTAATTCATACAATTTAATGAATGCTTGTAGTCGACCATTATTTATAGGTAAATATTTAAAAATCGGCTTAGCCAGCTAAGTCAAGTCAAAGTCAATCATCTTTGGTTAACCTTCGAGAGTTATCGTAAATTTTCCTCATTGATAATTTTCTCATGTATTTTTTTATTACGTAGTTTAAAAAATTACAATTAATTTTAGTAAAAAAAGTTTTTCCGTTTGAGGCCTAAAAAGTGAAAATTACCCGGGGTTTGGTTAATAATTTTCGGCTCTACTAGAGCCATTTAAAAGGTTTACAATTGATAAAATACAAATATTTTATTAGTAAAGAAGATTTATAAAAAGTAAACTAAAGAAAAAAAGTGATATGTCGGATCAATATAATATTCGATATCAATATCCACGAACCAAGCGTCGCCCAAAAATCAGTTACATTTTAAACTCAATTAATTTTATAGTTCCGATAATTCAATATGCACTACATATTGATTCGTAAGATTTACTTTGATTTATTTTTTGATTAACATTTCTAATAGTCAATTAAGATTCTTTTATCTAACTACTATATACTTTAATATAACTATTGACTAAAACTAATAACAAATATTATATTAATAAAATATAATAATACAATAATGAATATTGATAGTTAATATTAATAATATAGTATTTTGGAGAAAGGAACAAGTTTTAGTAAGAATTATATAATCATGCCATGTAAAGTGAGAAGGAAGTATTGTTTTAAAGTTGGATATGATTTGGTATTTATTAGTACCTTGTTTGGTTAGGAGATTGGTTTGATTGTGAAAAGAGTTATTAGAATAAGATTTGATTTTATGAAAAGAAATATTAAAAGATTTTGTTTTAATAAGATGATGAATGATAAATAAAATATTCCAGTTTTTTATATAAGAGAATTTATATAATGATGAAAATAGTTGAATATTTTTAAGTACAGAAAGATTGTCTAAATGTATATTATTTTATGAATTTATTGGCAAGATAAAGAGAAGATAGAAGAGAAAACATAATAGAAAAAAGAGAAAGAAGTTGGGATAGATTCAGTCAAACATCAGATGTAAAAGATAACAAAAGCAGAGAAAAAAAACAAGGAAATAGAATATACTTAAATAAGATAAGAAGAAGAAAAAGTTTCAAAACTATGAATTGGAAAATAGAAGAAAGAAGAAGTGTCTATAACCAGAAGACAGAAAACTAAACAAGATATAAGCAGAAAGAAAACACATATATAGAAGAAATATTAGATTAAATTTGAAAATGATTAAAAAAACTAGAAGAAGCAAGAGAGTTGGCAGAAGAGGGTCCTACCAACCATTTCTAAAGTTGTCATGGTTGAATTAATAGAAATGGACAAGGAGCTTAAAGAATTTCTGCAAAAAGAAAGAGAAATATTTGAAGAAAAAACAGTATCTCCTTGTCTAGAAAAAGAAAAAAATAGGAAAGAAAAAGGAAAAAAAACATGTAGAAACAGAACAGAATAAACTAAAAGAGAAATAAAAAGAAGATAGAAAGGAAATTAATATAATATATCATAATATTAATAGACTCAAAACCAAAAGATAGAAACTCGATAGTCTGCTAGGCTAGGCAGAAGAAGAAATCACAATATTAAAGATCATAGAAACAAATTTTATAGAAAAAAAAGAAAAATTCTTGATACAGACTACAAATAAAAAATATGTAGGATTTTGGTCAAGTGTAGCAAAAGACAAAAAAAAAAGAGATCTGATATAGATATTATGATCAATAAGTAATAGAAGAAGTATGTGGGTGTAGTCAAAAAGATAAATGAATATATAATAGAACTTATATTATACTTCAAGCAATTGGAGTTAGTAGTTATAGGAGTTTATATACCATCAGGTGACAAGGTAATAGGAAGAAGTATTTAACAAAAAATACTAGAAATAATCACCAAAAAGAAGAAATAAATACAAATAGTTATTTTGAATGACTTTAATCATATAGCAAATAATATCTTAAACAGACAACATCCACAAGCAGCAAATTTTAAAAGACTGCTAATCTTTAATTGGATGAAGAAACAGAACTTTAGCAATACATACAGAGATATATACTTAACAAGCCAAGAGTTTACATAGTCAAATAGAGAAGTAGCAACAAGAATTAACTATATATGGATATCAGAAGAATTGGCCTCAAGTATATAAAAGACAGAAATCAAAAATGCAGAAGAGATCACAGAAAATGATTATAAGATAACAAAAACAGAAATATGGATTAAACATATAATAATACAAAATAGCAAAGCCAAAATTAAAAGGAAAAGTCAATTGAGAACAATATATCTATATGATCAAGCAAAAGAAGAGAACTAGAAAAAGTATACACAAAAACTGCAGAAATGATTAGAAGTCAAAAAGATGTTAAAAAACATTCAAAAAAAAGAACAAGATAAAAGGGAAAGAATAAATAGTATAAATAATATATGAAATGTATTAGAAAAAGCAATTATTATAGCAGCAAGCAAGCATCTGTCTAAGAAAAAGATTTATAATACAATAATAAATAGAAGAAATGGTCAAAAGAAGTGACTTCAAGAAAAGAACATTATAGAACTACAAAGATTAATTAGACTTGCAAAAACAAAAAAAGATCAGAAAATAATAAAAAAAGAAAAAATAGAAATAAATAAGAAATTACAAAAGATAAGAGAAAAAAAGATGCAAAACTGTCAAAAATATACAGACAATGGTCAAGTGCCTAGATAGAAAACATAAAAGGTTGACAAAAACTGTTACAGGAAAAAAAGAGAAAAGGGTGAGAACAAGACCAAAGAAGACAAATAGAAGAAAACATAGATAAAAGATATGAAATGATTAAAACAGATCAAACAAAAATAATAGTTAGCCTTTTAAACAAATCGTACAAGAAGATAATACTTGATAGATATATTGAACAAGAAGAAGAACTAATGACTTAACAGTAGAACCAGAGTTAGTTAAAACTGATGTAGCATAACACTACAAGAAACAATTCAGAAAAAGAGACACAAAACTAAAAGAAATGTCAGAAAGATAAAAAGAAATTTACAAGCCACAAGAATATATTAAAAAGAAATAGTATATAGAAGTTAAAGAAAATATCAAAGAAAAGAAATAAGAAGAAGTACTTAGAGAGCTTAAAATAGGAACAGCTCCAGGCATATCTGGTATAAGCTACATACGAATCAAGCGAGCAGGAAAGAAAATACAAGAAATTTTTAAAGCCTTTGGCAACCTTTATTTAGAAATAGGAGAAATACCAACTAAGTGGAAAATCATACAAGTTTATCCAATACCAAAAGATATAAAATAGAGATATAACTTAAACAACATTTATTCAATAGCTTTAATAGAAACATTTAGAAAAGTAGTAACAAAAGTGATAACAAAAAGGCTCACCAAGGTGTTTATAAGAAGAGAAGTACTCAAGGGACCAAATTATGCAGGCCTACCAAGAAATTCAACAGAGCAGCTAGTGCATATCCTAAACATGATAATGGAAGAAGCAAGAGAAAAGAACAAAGAAATATAGATACTTCTGCAAGATATGAAAAAGGCATTTGACTCAGTTCTACTCAAGAGTCTTAAAATGGCACTGCAAAAAGTTAAAGTTCCTAAAAGAATAATAAAATATATTTTAAATCTCTTTCATAAAAGACAATTAAGAATAATTACAGCTTATAATCTAATAAAAGAAGTAACAGCAGAAGATTGAATAGACCAAGGAGAAATAATATCAATATTAATATGATGTCTCTTTTATAATCTACTGTTAGAAAAAGTACAAGAAAATAAAAGTCTAAGATATACAGTTGAGCAACAAATTAAAGAAAGAATGCAATACAATAATGTTACAAGATTTTGCCAAGCAGCAATCATATATGCAGATAATACAATATGGATTGCAAACAGCAAAGACTAGCTATTAAAGATTTTAGAAATAGCTGAGAAGTTTTTCAAGATGAACAATATAGAAATTAATAAATTAAAATCAAAGCTGCTAGTAATAAACACAAAGGTTAAGAGAGAAGAAAGAGAAATAAGTTTTGGCAAAAGCAGAGTAAAAGAAGAACCAAGGAACAAAATTATCTGTTTATTAGGAATATGGCTGAATAACAGAATGTAAGAAGTATTAGTTAAAAAGAAGGCTAAAGGAATAGTTAGTCAGATGATAAAAGATCTTAGATACAAAAAGATGACAACAAGTCAGATTATATATATAAACAACATAGTAATAATTCTAAAACTAAGCTACATGTTCCAGCTAATGAAAGTTTCAGAAAAGAGAATATATGAAATACATCAACCAATAATATGTTTAGCAAAACAAAATAGCAATTTATAAAAAACATTAGAAAATTGCATAATAGAACATAAAGATCTTGGTGAGTATAGAATGCTACAACAAAAGCTAATAATGAAGTAAATGAGCAACTTGTTGTCTAGATTAAACAGACAAGATAGTCTAGATCAGTTAATGAAACTAAGATTAACACAAGATTGTCAAAGAGCAGGCCTAACAAAAGGCATTTGGAAGTTAGAGAAAATATTAGCTAACAAAGCATGTTGAAAAAATAACTTAGTTTGCCTGATAATAATAAAAACAAGAGAGTTAGAAACAAATATAAGAACTAAAAATAACTTATAAAGAATATTTGGACATGGTACCAAGCTATGAGAGCTGTTAGAAACATGATTATGGAAAAGAGTGAAACAGAAATAAG